TCCTCTCACTTGCTCTACCCTCCATACACTACCCTTTTGGGTGTCTCTAGAACAGGGAAGGCATGATTCTGCCCCCAAGGCCTTTGAACTTGGTGTTCCCTCTGCCCAAAATGCTCAATTTCCAGATATATGCATGGCTTGCTCCTTTACCTTCCTCAGTCTTCACTCGAATGTCCCCACTGTGTGAAGCCTTCCATAGTCACCCTATTTAGAGTGTGGACCTTCCTCCTCTCACACATTCCATTTCTTTTTTTCCTGCATAGCACATGATAGCACCTTAGGTACTTACTTTATTCATTAATCTTATTTATTGTCTTTCTCTACTAGAGAATTCTAGTCTGTTCTAACTACTGCTGTATCACCTAGAACAGAGCCTGGAACATAGCAGATGAATATTTAATGAATAAGGGAATTTTGAAACAAGGCCCAGAGAGATTCAACAACTTGTCTAGTGTCACACATACTGTACGAACCTGGATACATCTGAGTCTATCTAGGATTAGAATGCAATCTCCTAACTACCATATTAGTCTCAATAAAGAAACACACCCCTAAACTGCATGCCAGAAAGGTAGTGTTTCTATTGGCTCCTGTGTTCTGATTTCCCAGAACTGCAAACTCTGCCATGGTCTGGGGCTGTTCTTGCTACACTAGCTTTTGTTTATTTCTTTGTGCTCAGTGCCAGGGGTGCCTGGTGCCTGTGTGAATGCAATGGGAAGTCTTTGGCTTACTTGCCACTGCCATGGCAACCAGGTAACTCTTAAGGACTTCAGAAGCAAGACCTTCTGATTGAAAGAGAGCTGGGGGTGGAGGGAATGAAGCAAGCCTAGAATAAGCAAGGAAATCTATGAATGGAGAAACAACCAGAGTCTTGGTCCGCCATTTGTAATGCCATTGGCAGTGAGGAGAACCATCCTACTCTCTTCTCCTTCCTACCGATCAGTCACAGCCAAAGGCTAGAGGATTACCCTGTCCTGCTTCCTTCCTCCAGCCTGATCCACTTACCCTACTTGCCTCATCCTGGGGGCTGCTCTCTTCCTCTGTACAGGATCTCCAGATAAGAAGGTCCTCCCAATGTTGTCCGTGTCCCCATGTAAGACAGGGGACAGTCCTGGAGTAGAAGTCAAGAAAACTCTTTTGATCCCTTGACCCAGAAGGACAGACTCTCACAAAGAATGCAGACTCCGTGGCTCACCTGACCCTTTTCTTAAGGCGTTTGTTCCCTTCCTTACCTACCTGACCTACTTTAGAGTGACAGTGGGAAAACAAAACAGAGTCATAGTAGAAAGAATGGTGACCTTAAAGTTCTTACAGAAATGTTATTAGAATTGTAATGTTCTGTGAAGAGGACTTACAGTAGCAGGCACTGGCTCTGGCACTCAGCACGCATGATTTAATTTAATCCTTACAACTGCCGCTGGGGGGGTTCAGAGCCATCTGCAATGGAAAGATGAAGAAATGGAGCCTCAGGCAGGTTAAGAGCTTGGCTAAGTTTGCACAGCAGCAAGCAATGGAGAGACATGCAAAACCCAAAGTGTCTGTTTCCAAAAGCCATGTGTTCAACCACTCCCCTACAGTATCCCTTGGAGGCCGGAGGATTAGAGAAAATCCCATTTTTTCTTGTCTTGGTCATTCCCACAGCGGTCTCTGGCCCCAAAGCTCCGAGCACATCATCGAGGAAGTGTCTGGTGCCTTTTGCATTTAATGAGCCCCTTTGATCTGAGGAGTGTACTGAGCTCCGCAGACAAGATCATGGTAATTCTCCCAGCCCAAAGGCTAGTGCCTCTGGAGCTGGACCAGAGGGGCTGGTCCTTTCCCATACCCTGGTGCCTGTCCAGTTAGTAAACGCCTTTCCTGGGCATGTCTGATGTGCCCAGTTCCACGGGGCATGTAGGAACAGCCCAAATCCCAGAGGATTTGAAGACGACTGAGTGCCAAGCTGTGGGTGGTGCCCCAGGGACAGAAGACAGGTTTGTGGCTCGTGGTCATGGGAGGGGTCAGGAATTGGGGTGGGTGTAGAGAGGAGGGGACAGACTCACAGCACAGGTGCTGGGGGTCAGCAGGAACGGAGGGGCAGAAGGCAAAGGGCAGGTGTGGTGGGGCTCAGAGTCCGACATCAAAAAAGAACTGGCTTTACATTCCAGCCATGTGTGGCCTCGGGGTAGCCATTAAACCTGTCTCTTCAATAGGGAGCTCACGCGCACTGAGAGATTTTTACCAGGAGTGGGGCCGGTTGGGGGTGTCCATCCGGTTTCCACTTTCCACCTTTTTATTATTTTTTTAAATTTTAATTTTTAATTAGTTTTTAACAGATTCAATGTGATTTGTAGATACAATTCTAAGAACATGACATTCCCTTTCTCCCTCCCTCCCACCATCCTTCCTTCTCCCATTCGTTTTTTATATTTTTTTAAGTTTTGGGGATAACATATTTTAAATCTACATTAGTAAAAAGGCTTAATACTTCACCGAATAGGGGTCTTTTTGCTTCTTACTATCTTAGCTTTAACGCTTTACTGCAAGGAACATTTGACATCTAACCTGGATCTGCATGGCTGCTGGGGTGTTTCCACTTCTCTTGCTCTTACCCTGGTTACGGCTCTTTAGAAGCCCCGAACACTGAAAGATAATGGTCCTCCTCCCAAATGCCCATAAAATTATACCAAATCGTAAAATACAAAACTCGCATGAATGCCGAGGTTAAAATAGCTTCTTTCTGGATTTTTATTCCCCTGAAGTCCTGGATCACCTCTTTCATTGAAGTGCGCCTTTTCTAGCAGGTTCAGTGTCCTTGCCTCCTAAGATTTCTAGTGCCAGCAGCGAGTCTGGGGTCGTCCAGCCTCAAGGGCATGTGGGGCGGGGTGGGGGAACAAGGAGCTCCAGGGGGAGCAGCACTCCCCTGGCCCTTTGGCCCCTTAGCCAGGCCCTGGGACCAGGCCAGGTCATGCTCCCCGCTTCTCCAGAAAATTATGTTGAGGCCCAGGGGCCCCAACAGCTCCACATCCAGAGCCAAGATAGAGGGCCCGAGGCACATTCGCCATTGTGCCCCAGCCAGCGGCTTCCTGCCACATCTCACACCTGCCTCCGGGAGCGCAGACCTCCCCCGGCTCTGTAGCTCCGTAGCTCTGCACAGTTGCCAGGGACCGGAAGTAATGTCTCTTACCTGATCGGCAATTCGACACGGCTGCTTAACAACCCGATTAATCAAACCCAGCTCGTCCTGTTAGAATTAATGAGCCCAGGAAACGCTGCCGTGAATAATGAGGGCTTTTGCCCCTCCCCCAGCGCCTCTCCCCACTCACCCCCCCTCCGGTGTCCTTCTCAGAGCAGTACAAGTACAGCAGCTACGCAACACGGAGGGGCCTTAGGCCCTGCTGGGCGCCCTGCTCGTCTCCGGTGCACCACAGCTGCCCCACCTGGAGCCCAGAGGCTGGCCATGTTCTGGAGCAGCAAAACCTCTGGCTCGTCACACAGATATTCGTGCATTTAGCTGTCAGATTTGGACTGAGTGTCAAACTGCATCAGGCCCTGTGCCAGGTGCTAGGGATGCAGCAATGGATAAGATGTTGTCCTTATGAGAGGGTCGTAGTGTGAGTGCCATAACAGGGGACATGGGAAGGGCCTGGAGATGCAGGGAAGGGACCCTGTCAATAGGAGGGGACGTCAAACAGTTCACAGAGGAGCACACATTTCGTGCAGTGGTGAAGATACTGAGCAATATGCCTGCAGCCCATATCAGAGTGCCTGGTTCGAGTCCTGGCTCCTCTGCTTCTGATCCACCTTCCTGCTGTTGTGCATCCTGGGAGGCAGTGGGTGATTGCCCCAGTGCTTGTGTTCCTGCCACCCATGTAGGAAATCCAGATGGAGTTCCAGGCTCCTGGTTTTGGTCTGGCCCAGCCCCAGCTAATGCAGGCATTTGAAAAGGAGTGAACCAGCAGATGGAGATCTCTCTCTGTTTCTCTGCCTTTCCAATAGAGTGAAAATATGTAAATAAAAACTTCAAGATTGGGGGCCGGCACTGTGGTGCAGAGGGTTAACGCCCTGGCCTGAAGCGCCGCCATCACCGTATGGGCACTGGGTCTCGGTTGGAGACCCGGCTGCTCCAAATCTGATCCAGCTCTCTGCTATGGCATTGGAAAGCAGTGGAAGATGACCCAAGTGCTTGGACCCCTGCACCCACATGAGAGGCCCGGAAGAAGCTCCTGTCTCCTGGCTTCAGATTGGCGCATTTCCTGCCATTGCAGCCAATTGGGTAGTGAACCATCAGATGGAAGACCTCTTCTTTCTCTCTACCTCTCCTCTCTCTGTGTAAATTTGACTTTCAAATAAATAAATAAATCTTAAAAAAAAAAAAAAAACTTCAAGATAAAAGTACATGGAAAGTGAAATTAATTAAGTTTATTTTGGTACAAACAATTTTGAAATCCATGCATAATTTCTCATAGTATGCATTTTTCATCAACTTTTTGAAGATCATGGGCTTGCTGTTAACACTGGCTACTGGGAGGTTTCACATTAAGAGTTCCCCTAGGTTCTCACATCTACAGCTGGCTGCAGCTGGTGGTCCTGTCCCTCTCGCCTTGGTCTGGGCCCTCCAACCCACCCTCGTCTCCAACAGCTGACATCTGTCACTTGTGTTGCTCGTCTAGCCCCAAGGGCATTTGAGTTTGTGACTCCCAGCTGAGTGTTTCTACAGAAGCTTGTCAAGCCTGACACCCACTTTAGACAGCACAGAGTTTCCACGGAAACCAGCCCACTCCGGCAGACACACTAGGACTGGAGCCATGCAGGGAAGGCCATCCCCTGTCTTCCCAGCTAGGAGCAGGGCGGAGTGGGGGTGGGAGGAGGGACTCAGAACTGTGAGTTGATCTGACTGATGTTGCTTGGCTACCAGACTGTGGCCTGGTCGGGTGGCCCAGACCAGTGCCCTTGTCGCCGCCACCCACCCACCAGATTGCTCTGGGCTCAGATCTGACCACCTTCTGCCTTTCTTCCTGCAGGGGGAGCTGCTGAGTCCATGCCGCTGCGATGGCTCGGTCAAGTGCACGCACCAGCCGTGCCTCATCAAGTGGATCAGTGAGCGGGGCTGCTGGAGCTGCGAGCTGTGCTACTACAAGTACCATGTCATCGCCATAAGCACAAAGAATCCTCTGCAGGTACAACCACTGGCTCTCTGCGGACATTCGAAGCATCTGGGAGAAAAGAAGTGGTGTGGTCTGGGTGGGTGAGCACTGTGGGCAGCACGCAGGCAGGAGAGGACGAAAGAACTTTATTTTCCATAAGGCCCAGCCAAAAGGGGGAGCGATAGGACACAGAGAGAAGTAGATGCAGAGGAAAAGAAGGGTGGGGAATCAGATGCAAGAGAGAGAATGAGTGGAGGAATGAATGAGTGAGTACATGTGGAAAGTGAAGGAAGGAGGAGGGAAAGAAAAGGAAAAAGAAAGGAAGGAGGAAGAGAGGAGGGAGATGGGGAGGGAATCAGGTGGTGATGGTGGGGGTGGGGCCTTGGCTTGGAGGAGTAGCCCTGAAATGCAGGGGTTGGGGGTGGAGAGCAGAAGGACCAGGGAGACTGTAGAGCAGGGCATGGAGGGAAGGCAGAGGGTGGGGGCAGTGAGCAGGAGGACTAAGCTACAGAGAAGGGCAAAAGGGAAGAAATCAGGAGAGCAGACTCAACAGCCCTTGCCGCACCTCAGGGGTGTGTGATCCACTGGAATCTTGTCCAAATGCAGACTGTGCAGGTTTGGGAGGTCTGGGGCAGGCCTGAGATGCTGCACTTCTCACAATGCACAGAGTGATGGTGACATTGCTGATGCACGGACTGCACTTCCTGGGACCCAGGACAGAGGCACAAATGGAGAAGAGAGAGGAGAGGGCAGCAGAGGAAGGCAGGAAAATGGACAATCAGGAAGCGAGAAAGGGGAGAGAAAGAAGGAGAAAGGCCAATGGGAGGGGCACGTGCAGGCACAGCCATGGCTGCGTGGGGGTCTGCCAAACAGATCTCGAGAGGATTGGAGGCTCCTGATGCCACCCCACCCCTCAGCCTGGCCCTAACACTGTCAGTGTCCCCAGAGCAGCTGTCAGGCCTGTGCCACCTTTGTAGCCTCCTGCCTCAAGCAGGTGCACACACACATGGAGGAGCACTGTGCGTCTGGAAATGCCTCCACATCTGCACGGTCAGCCAGTTAATCCGTGTGTAATCAATTAGCCAGTGTGCGCGTGAGCAGGGGGACTTCAGCAGCCTGGCCCAGCTTCACTCCTGCTCTCTAATGGGTGTGGGAAGAATCCATCCTGCAAGCTGCGGTTGGGTGGGGAAGGCAGGGATGGGGTCTTCGCATGGAGAGGCAGCTGGCAACACCTGGAGTTGGTGTCCAGGGCATTCTGAGTCCCCAAGGAGTGAGTGTGAGAGGGTCTATGTGAGTGTGGGAGAGTGTGCATGCTAAGGTCAGGGGGCTGTTTCTGGATGGTGGCATTAGAAGCCCCAGGCCCCTTAACCATCTCCATGGTGTACCCAAAGGTCAGAATAAGAAGTACCGGCTTCTGCCAGGGCTCTGTCTTCAGCCACTCATTGCAAAATCTTGAAGCATCTTAAAATAGCTGTGTCACGAGACAGCTGATTCCGCTGCCTCTGGGGCGTGAGCAGAGGCCTGAGCAAGTTAACCCTCTGCTTCCTCTCCAGCTGGCTCAAGCCCCCAGAAAAAGTCAGATTCCAAACCCAGGAGCCCACCTCAAAGGGCCTGCCCCCTCTTGGCTGACAAAAGTGAAAAACCATTTAGGGCTAACTTTTTCCTTGAGGGGAAAAAGAAAAGGCTATTCTAATCTCATCAGTCAGATAAGCGAATGGCAGGGTAGGCAGTGTTGATCTGTGAGTCAAGCCGTAAGTGAGCATGCTATCTTGAACCCTGAGTTTCTGAACACTGGGGATACGCTCCAGTTTTGCTGCTCCTGAGAATGTAATGGCTATTGGCCAGATAGCACACCAGAGGAAGAAAGTAGTTTGTCCTGGAAGCAGTACTGTGTAGTTGAGGCCCGAATTGCCCCAGTTGTGTGTTTGGAGTTCCTTGAGCCCAGCCAAGTGTGAGACAGCTGCCTGCTCAGCCACAGTGTGCAGCATCTGCCCCCACGGCCTGGCTGGCCATCTGCAGTGTAGGATGGCGCTGGCAGGCCCTACTGCAGCCTTGTGCAGAAATGGGTGGGGATCCCAGAGCTGGAGGTTCCCTGCAGGTCTGTCACCCCATACAAAGGCGTGAGCAACAGCACAGCTGCTCACCCTGGGGCATCGTCTTAGAAGTCATGTGCTTGGCCAGAAGCACCACTGAGAAAGGACCTGCCACACAGCCCTTGGCTCCATGGCTGCTTTCCTCTCTGTGTTGCATCCAAATCGCTATTATAGGAAGGATCATTTCATTGTGGATTATTAGGTGCCAGTCAACATTCTAACTGTTCACATATATTATCTAATTTAATCCTGGAAACAGTGAAGGGGTACCATTATTACTCTCAATCTACAGACGATACTGTGGAGCCACAGAGGGGTTGGGCAGCTTGCCCAAGGCTGCATAGCTCTTCACTGGTGGTGCCCAGTAGCACGCAGGGGTCTGACTCCTGGCCCAGACTCTTTGCTTCTTTGCCATAATGCACATGCCTTTAGGACACATATGAATTTAGGATGCAGATGCATTTAGGATTGCCCTGCTCTGAGTACCTTTCTGTGTGTGCTGGAAGATGATAAAAAGCTCTGGGTTTCATGGTTATTTCAAAGCACTGGTTTTAGAGTTGTTCCATTTCACCCTCATAAAACTCTGGGAAGTAGGAAGGATGAATTATGTCCACCTTTTCAGAAAGGAAACTTACAGTCCTCCTCATTTCCCCACCCCTCCCCCAGGTCACACTCAGCAAGCTGGGGCAGAGCTCAGCTAGAATTGGGCCATCTCTCCCCTTGCTCGACGTCCCTCCCTGCTATAAAGAAGGAAGTTTCTAGTCCTGGTGCCCTTTTCCTTTAGTCTCTCCACTCCAGGGGTATGGAGAACCTTCTGTCTGCCGGGGCCATTTGGATGCTTGTAACATCCATCACAGGTCATACAAACTTAGCAACTTAATTATACAAAATTAGCCTGCTATAATATTTCTTGAATTTCGAGTCCCACCTTGGGTTGCCTTGGCAGGGCCAGGTGCAATGATTTTGTGGGCTTTATACAGCCCATGGGCCTCATGTTCCTCACCCCTGCTCTATGCATTGATGCCACATAACAGGAGAACAGGGGCTGGAGAAGTCTCACAACACTGGGATCAGAATCTCTCAGCATTGCAGGTGTGTGGTGTGGCAGAGCCTGGTCCCCTGGTCCCTTGGTCCCTTCTTCCTTTCCCAACCTGCCTTACACTGCCTGCCCCCACCCCTCTGAGAGCACCCAGGAGTCCTGCATAGGGTCCACAGATGGCTTGGGGGCTGGTTGGTGGTGGTGGGGGGTGGGGTTTAAGGATGTGCCTCTCTAGATGGAGTTTTTGACATCTGGGAGAGCAGGGTGGGGGTTATTGATCCTTCAATGGTAGAAACAAAAGGCCCACTCAGAAGCTTTTTCCTCTTTCCAAGCAGTGGGCCAGGCTCTGGAAAAAGCATTTGCTTGTACAAAGGCGAAAGCTGAATGATTGGGCCATCTTCTGGAACGTTCCTTTGTTACGTGTAACCCTAGGCTAGGGGAAACAGTGGAAAATTAAAAGGCCCAATTCAGTGTAACGGGATGCTATCTGCATAATTAAATGTAAAGGCTGACATCCTACATCTGGACTAGCAAGTGAAATGTCTTCCAATGGTTACCCCTCCTTGGGGCCGCTGGCCAGTGCTGGCAGGAACCAGAGTCAGTGCTTTCACCCAAGCCGTCAGATGCACAGCGAGGGTCTCCCTGGTGGCAGATGGAGGATGCTCTGCCTCTCCTCTGCGTTCAGGCACAGATGCTTTCTGGGGATGTCCCCTGCAGGGCATGAGGCAGATCTCTGCCAGCCGATGTCCTTCCTTCCACCTGCCCAAATCTGACCCTGCCACGTCCTTGCTTAAAGCCATTCCCAGCGTTGCTTTTGCTCCTAGGGAGAAGTTCTAAATCTGCATAGTCTGAGAATCTACGTGCTGGGTCCTTCTTACTTTTCACGTTGTCTCACCCCATACTTTCGTCTGCTCTCTCCACTCCACTCACTCTGGTCTTTGCCCAGGTTTTCGTACTCACTGTGCTTTCCTCTGACACAGGGCCTCTGCACCTGCTCTTCCCTCTGCCTGTAGCATTCTCCCATCCTTTCTGTGCCTAATAATTCCTGCTTGGTTCAAGCATCATTTTCTCTGGAAAGTCAGATCTCAATGCCATGTACCTCCCTAACTCTTGACAAATTGCAACTGAGAATAATTCATTGAGTGTTGGTACTCCCTAGACTATAAACTCCATGGGATCTGAGACTTGTCTGGTTGTGCCTAGTGGTCTGTCTCCGGCACCTAGCATAGTGGTCAGCACATAGAAAACATGCAAATGTTGTGTGGCTGTCTGAATAAACCCTGTTTTAGTTGGTTTTTCAATACATTAACTAGAATACTTGAGAGGAGCGTCTGAGGAAGGAAGGATGTTTATATTGGCTTACAGTTTTGGAGATTCACAGTCCAAGACCGGGTGGCTCCATTAGTCTGGCTTCTGATGAAGGCAGAGCATAGGTTGAGAAAGGATCGCAAGGCCAGCAGGAAGCTGAGTGACTCAGAGAACAACTCTTCATCTACCCTCTGTATGGTCTCCCCTTATAAAGCCATCATGATCTGGTGATGGGATTCAACCCTAACAACCTAATCCAATTCAGTCACCTGGCAAGGGCCTCGCCTTCAGACATCTCCATCAGATTCAGCCTCCACCCTAACTCATCAACCATTAGCATTAATCCATTAACTGTCCACAGAAGACTTTGGGGTTGAAATGTCTGCATGAGTCTGGGGATCCCATTAAAACCATAACAACCCCCAAGCCGAAATCTAACTCCTGGCTCATTTAGGCTGGTACTGTCTGGACTAGCCAGGAAACCATAGAATTTCAGAGTTGAAATTCACCCACACCTCAGCTTTTTTTTTTAAGATTTATTTTATTTGAAAGGCAGAGTTGGAGAGAAAGGTATTGATTTTCCATCTTTTGTCTCACTCCCCAAATGGCGGTAATGGCCAGAATTGGGCCATACTGAAGCCAGGAGCCGGGAGCTTCTTGGGCCATCCTCCACTGCCTGCAAGCACATTAGCAGGGAGCTGGATCAGAAGTGGAGCAGCAGAGACTTGAACCAGTGCCCATATGGGATGCCAGCACTGCAGGTGGTGGCCCAACCCCCTACACCATGGAACCCGCCCCCACATTCCAGCTTTCAACCCATCCATCAATAATGCTGTATGTACACTGCTGCTAATTGTGTAAAAAAATGGAAATGCCCATATTAATACACTTTCAGTAAATTATAAACTATTTTTCTTATCTCTTTCCCTCCTCTCTTTGTTGGATTGGTCATCTCTGACATGTATATGAAATGGCACGCGAGGTGTTATAGAAACAAACAAAACAGGCAAAAGAAAGGCCTGTGTGCCCTCAGCACTTATTAGCGCAGAAAGAGACTCTGGAAAGAAGATTCTAGAGCCCTGACCACCACCCACTCATCCTCCCAGTGTTCTCCACCTGACTGCTAACCTGCCCTTCTCTTCTCCCGCAGTGGCAGGCCATCTCTCTGACAGTCATCGAGAAGGTCCAGATCGCAGCCGCCATCTTGGGCTCTCTCTTCCTCATCGCCAGTATCTCTTGGCTCATCTGGTCGACCTTCAGTCCCTCAGCTAAGTGGCAGCGCCAAGACCTCCTCTTCCAGATCTGCTACGGGATGTACGGCTTCATGGACGTGGTGTGCATAGGTGGGTCTAGGGGCTGGTCTCAGTGGGAAGCTGGGAGCCATGTGCTCACAAGGTGGACAACCCCTACAGGATTCCTTCCTGGTAGTGGGGGCAGTGTGGGCAAAGGGGAGAAGGTTGCTGTCCCGAGACCTGAGAGCTCGGGAGGGGCTTAGACTTGAGTGACGAGTGGGAAGGGGCAGAAGGCAGGGCGTAGAAGGAAGAGCTCAGTCATTCCCAAGCCAACGTGTTTTGCCCACTTGAAGGCGTGGATACAGAGGCTTGCCTGAGAAGAGCTGAGAGAGGTGGGTTGCTCCATGTGCTGCCTCGAGCAGGGGTTGGAAGGGCTCTTCTCCTTTGTGGACCAGTGGCTGCTGAGCCACAGGAGAGATGCCTACACCTTTCATTTCACCCTTTTCCCAGCAAAATGCCACAGTGATCTCTGCCTCTTCCCCACTTCCAGCTTTCTCTCAGTCTATTCCAATGCCCCGAGCTTTCTCTTGTGTAGTGGTGGGGTTGCACCTCTGGAGGTGGGAGAGGAAATGCTGCACAGCCGGCCTCTGACTGCTCACCCTGCTTTGCCTTGAGTTTCTGTGCTTTCATCTACATAGACGAATTTCTGTTCCAGGTAAGATGTTTAAAAGGCTTCAGTGTTTTTGAAAACAGTTGGAACTGACAGAGATGCTTCCTGCTTGCTCCCTTACTCCATCCCCCAAGCTTTGCTCCTCTCTCTTCCACAATGGTTGGTGAAGAGCTTGGTCCATTTTTTCCATGGCAGATCAGTATGGCTGGGAGTCTGAAGGCTTGGCCCAAGTGCCTGAGCAGGTGGGAATACCTGGTTTGTCTGGGTGAAAAGAAGTGTGCATAAGCCCTGCTATCCACCCTAACCTGGAACCCTCAGATTTTGCCCTTTGGTAACAGTGCTAGGAATATGAGACTTCCACTCATTGTCTTCTCTGGGCATTGGTGTATTTGTTACATCAAATACACTGCATTGCTCTATTTGGCAGGAAAACACCTATTAGCTAGAATTTGGCTGAGATGATTTCTTTGGGGTCTTCTAATATTAGGAGTCAGAAAGGCCAGGAGACTGGCATACTGATAAAACCAGTGGTGCTGGAACGCATAAACTTGTCTTCGCCATCTTGCTGCCTCTCCATGCTAACAAAATCAATATATCAACTCCAAGTTCAAGAGCCTTTTAATTATGGCACCTAGGCAGTGAGAGAAACAGATGGCCCAGGTTTGGAGGACTGTGGGAGAGAGAGGACTGTGAATGGGGAGGAATTTGACATTGATGCATTTTAATTTCCTTCTCCCTCCCACCAAACTCCCTTCCTACCCCTGCAGAGGCCTGGGTTGGTGATGCCAGGAGCCAGGCGTGTCTCCATATGGAGGATTACGGCAAGTCTGCCAGGAAGGGGGCGGGGGGACTTCCTGCAGAGCCCCTCCTCTGTCCTTCGCTCTCCTTCAGGCAGACTTCAGCTCAGTCCCTGAGGCATGCTTCTACGAGACACATATTCCTGTCACATGGTGTATTAGCCAACTTTGGCCTCGGTAACAAACAATTCCCCAAATCGCAGTGCCTTATAGCAAGCATTCATTTCCCATTCACACATCTGTGAGATGGCTGGGGCTCTGCTGAGCTGGGCTGCCAAGCTTAGCTTCTGGCTGGCTGTGCATTGGGTTCAGGCCTGCTCCCAATGTCTCCTCCTGCTGGGATCCAGGCTAAGGGAGCAATGACTACTGGGCTGTGCTTTTCTCCCAGCCAAGTGTAGGAGTACACGAAGGCTGGCAGAAAATCTTGCTTCTCAAAGTGTCTGCGCAGAACTGGCGCACACTGCCTTCTGCCCACAGCACATTGGCCTGTGCAAGTCACCAACAAGCCCCACATCAATAGGGTGCTGAGGCAGGGACGTCTCCACGGCATGGAGCTGGCTTTGGTGAGCTCTTCCTCCCCCACTCAACCTTGGCTGCAGTACGTCACAGCAGGAGCTTGTGTATCTATGTATGTCTCCATCTGGATATCTTTCTCTCCCTCTCCTTATAGAACCGTGTGATTCAATCACAAGGGCTCCACCCTCGTGACTTTTGCCGATCTAGTCACTTTCCAGAGTCCCCACCGGTAAACACCATTGTTGGACTCAGTTTCCATCCTCTGAGTACATGGACACAAGACGTTGGGATTACACTCCTGTAGGAGTTCAGGGAAGTGCACAACTTATGTCCAAACCATAGCCGGCCTCTTGGAGCAGACAGCAGGGGTCCCACGACTTCACTTGTGGGATGCCTACAGATGACACCTGTGACACCGAGTGCACCTGGGCCCACTTACAAGGGGAATCTTCATGAACAGGGCCAGCTCCCCAGGATCTGGGCCACCCAGCACCCCCACTCTGCCCTGCCTGGTATTCCGATATCACCTGCTCCTGTTGTCTCTCTCTGAGCAGAGCTCTGTGTCACCACCTCCTCTTTCTCTTTCTTGGCTCCCTCACTCTCTGGCTGTGTTTCCCCTGGCCCACAGCTATCTCTCCAATTCTTTCTCACATACATGGAGTGCTCAATCTTTCCATTTCTGGGAGAAGCAGAGTGGGCTGATGTTGAGTTTTCACATTGGTTTCCTTTCTTCCCTGCTGTCAGGAAGATATAATTTCTCAGGATTCAAAGCCACACTAGAGCTTTGATCCTGCTCAGACAAGCCACTGGTAGGTAGAGAGAGAACCACTGGACAGGAGGGCAGTGCATGAGGACCCTCCCTGCTTTTGATGCCACCCAAAAGTAGTCAGACAGACTGCTGTTTAGGCAGCCTCACCTTAAAGGAGTTCAGACTGCTCTGTTATGTTGTTGATTATAGTTGGAGCGAGTTCTATCTCAGAGCACGTCCCTGGGAATAAGGACTAATGCTCCCATTTTGAGACCACGAAACACTGAGACCGAGGCCGAAGGGCAACGGAGTAAGACTGTCAGCTCAGTGTTTTCCTGGGAGATGCTGACACCCAAGGGACAAAATGCTGCAGAAACAGAAACAGAAAAGGGAGGGTGGCAGGTGACACGCAACAGTGGAAACCCACAGACAGATTCCTGTGGTTGTGATGACGGTGATTTTTTTGTTTTTTTGATGGTGATAATCAGTAGTGATAATGGAGGTTTTAAGTGTGAAATTCAAGTAGCAGTCACTTCTTCTCTGCAGTGTTCTGGCCCATAGAACACTGCATGAGTGTAAAAGTGTCTGTCTTTTAAGGGTCCTCTGCAGGGAGAATCAGCTGGAGCCTGCAGAGCCTACCCGGGGCGTCCTTCATTTAAAGACTGGCCAGCGGGACTCAGAGGGACTGCCAGGGAGGACACTGAACATCATATTCACTACAGGGAGTGCAGAACAGGAACTATGGCCTCTCTTGCAGGAGTCCTGACTGCACTCCACATCCTAGTCCAGGACAGGACTCTTGGCTCCCACACAATAGCTCAGGAGCAAGCAGCTGAGGTGTACTTCAGTGGGGGGTTGGGTCTCCCTGGCTATAGTTTCCAGGCTCCCTGCGAAAGTCATGCTCGGTTCAAGTCATTGTGCTCTGGGAAACCCAAAGCCTCAGCCTCCCAGGAGGCATTCACAGCACCCACCCATCAAGGGCTATCCCACCCCAGGCGGCACGCTGCCTTCATCAGACTCTGAGGGGGAAAGCCAGAATGTCCATCCAGGGCCAGTTTGTTCCAAGAGAAGGAGAAATACCCCATCACTGCTCACTGCCCACTCCTGTCTCCCTCTATGATCCTGGCCCTCTGGCCACACCCTTGACCTATGAACCAACGAGAGGCAGAGAAGCTGGAACAGAAAGCACAGACCTGGCTGGGCCTTCCAGAAGGAGGTACAGTGTTGCTTTCTCACTGCAAGAAAGCAGAAACAGAGCCAAGAGAACCCCAGGGAGACTCTGCCTTACTTTTGAGGTTCTCACCAGTTTCAAAGCCTCCCAGAGAGAGGGGAAGCTTGAGAAGATGATGTGAATGAAGAGGAAGGGGAGAAGAGATGAGGCTCCCTGGCAGACAGTGGGGTGAAGGGAGCCTGCTCTTGAGAAATATTGGTGGAAAAAATGGTGGTGAAAGAATTCATATTTGGGGCCGGTGCTGTGGTATAATGGATTAAGCTACCTTCTGCAATGCTGGCATCCCATATAGGCACTGGTTAGAGTCTCAGCTGCTCTACTTTTGATCCAGTTCCCTGCTAAAAAAAAGCAGTGGGAGATGACCCAAGTGCTCAGACCCCTGCACCCATGTGGGAGACCCAGAAGAAGCTCCTGGCTCCTGGCTTCTGGTTTCAGCCTGGCCCAGCCCCGGCTGTTGAGCCATTTGGGGAGTGAACCAGCGGATGGAAGATCTCTCCCTGTCTGTGTCTCCCTCTCTCTGTAACTCTGCCTTTCAAATAAATAAAGAGCAAAAAATTAAAAAAGAATTCATATCCACAGGCACAAGCTCCTTGAAGGGATAGAGGAAATCAGCACCTGGGTAAGAACATTGTCATCAGGATAAAGGAAAATGAATCTAACCCCACCTTGTCAGCTCAAACGGCAGAGGTGGAAAACATGAAAACACTCAGCTGCTATGCGTCTCTGGATGTTGTGTGCTTTTCAGATATCAAGAACAATTTGTGCATTCTCTCAAAGACAATGAAATGACCATGGGTGGTAAAGAACACGAGTAAACATGAAGTGGATGGTTTTGAGGAATCCTTACTATGCACATATACCTGGGGCTCTAAGCAAAACCATCCTGAGCCAACAGCAGCCTAGCAGATGTTCCCCACCATGAAGCCAAGAAGGGGGGGACATGGGCTGCTGGCTTCTTGTGAAGCTGTGTCAGCCCACCCATGGCAGTATCCATGCAGCTAGCTTCTGGTAAAAAGAAAAAAATCAGTGGTCAGTGGGAAGACTCCAGAGTGATTATTCTCTTAGAGAATGGCCCACGGTGCTCACCAGTGGATTTTGCCTCCAAGATTACCAGGAAGGTCCAAGTTCCCTGTTTGATACAGCCCAGCT